AATTTACTATTTCTGAGATTAAAACCAATGAAAAAAGACTCAAGGTTATGAGCTACCTCACAAATCTATGAGTTATCTAGCTCAGTCTAAACATACAGATATAAATCTTTCTTTTTTTCTTGTTTTTAATCTAGCCACTGCTTAATAGACAGTGACCACGAGTATGATAGGTGCTTTACAGACTTGAAACGCCAATGCTGCATCACAAACCGAATACTGGCCCAAGGGCCGTGGTAACAAAGAGCTCCAATCCCGCCGCCGCGCACAGAGGAGCACTCCACTGAGAGCGCTGCACACAGGAGCCGCCTGGAAGGCTGGACCCCAAACACATAATGTGAGAGCAAAGGAAAGGCAGAAGTGATTTTCATTTTTGAACTCTGGCCGGCACGGTTGTTAAACGCCACTTAATTCAGATATACTGTGCGATAACCCATGTTCATAAGTGAGAGGCAGAATGGAACAATAAATGAAGGAGGCCACTCACAATCCCGGTGGAGAGTTTTAAAGTGGGCAGGTGATCTGGCTGGTTAGTTCTGATTTATTATAAAGGCACCTTTATGCTTTTTGAATCACCTTCCATCAGTCATGTTAAACAAAACCTCATTCTTATAAGGCAGTTCACACATGCACACACTAATCACTCATGTCAAACTAATAGCAAATGCATATGAAGAAAGTATAGTTCTGTGATGCTTATTACAAAAATATTTTTTAATATACTGGAAACAAGCATTTTAGTTTAGTAAAGCCATTAGCGACTGGTGTAAGTTTACAGTCCTGTATCAACACTTTCAGAGACTGATTGTGACAGTTAAAGGTCTGAGACTTTTTCTGGTTTGTGGCAAAATTGCTTTTCACAAGTTGTCCCAGAAGATCTTTGCTTTTAAAAACATATTTTGCAAATTAATTCTTTAACAGGAAGAGCTGTAGAATTATGGGGCTGAAAGCCCATGTGGGGAAATTCATCAACATCATCTCCCCATTGGTATTTTTTGATGTGACGTTCCTTATCACGAGGGAAAGAGGCACTTCTGCAGCTTCCCTACCCCTGAGCCTCCTTCCTTCTCAGAGAGGTATCACAAAGCCACTCACTACTCCATCTCCATTTTATTCCTTGTCGTTTATTAACACAGCCATACTGTTTTGAGAGCTCTGCACATCCCTTAGTATACAGCATCCAAAGTGGTTGGAACAACTGGTGGAAAAATAATAAACATTTTCAGCTGCAGTTGTTCAGATTCTGGACGAGTTGTTTATAAACATCTTGTCTAGAACTGTCAAGAGGTGGAGCTAACACCACTGAAAGATGATAAATTCTGACACTGCGCTCTGAGATTTCACTGCCACTGAATGTAGGTTAATATGGGATTCATAGGAAATCTGGCTTGCATATTGCTACATATTACAGGAAACGAAGGAACTTGTCATTTGTCTGCAGATTGCTAATTGCAGTTTATTGCACATGCAAAAGGTTAATTTGGGTATGTTATCACAGCAATCACATGCACTGTCTCAGAATAAACTATACTCCTACTCTTATTGATGATCTGGCCTGTAGGATTTGGGACATTATTTTGCAAGATTATGGCAAATAATTTTACAGTAAATGCTAAAACATTAGACAGCAGTGTCCTTAAGTGTAAACAACTGGGATAGAGTGGAGTTGCCAGTATTTGGTATGAAATATTTCTCCTTGACCCTTAATTTACTTACTTCCTGAGATGCATGTAATTTCTTCTTTGTGATGATACATTGAAAACAAAGATCTCTTCTATTCTAAATGAAAATTATATACTATTCTTATTATTGCTAATGCTTTGTCTTGAGAATAGCATTTATAGGCCTCAGATTAATTCATGACCTCTTCATGGTAGGTGCTGTATATATACACACAGTAAGCTCACTGCCCCAAAGACCTTACACTTTAATTAAATAAAGGTTGGAGGAAGGAAGTTTTATTACCTTTGCCACAAATGGGAAATGATAACAGAGAGAAACTAAAAGGACTGAGAATTACACTCCTCCTGCAATGAGTCCTGTATTTGGCTGTAATATATCCTCCCTTCCTGCTTTTGTTAAGTTGCTGTAAATTGGTAGGTAGATGGTTGGTCTCTCCCCCAGAGATGGAGTCTACTATAATTCTGCATACGTTTCGAGGTTTTATGGAATGAAATGCATTATGTAGATATATAACACTTTAATTTAGATCTGATTAAGTTATTCTGAAGAAATACTTCTTTGGAGTAAGGAGATTCTTATAAATCTTGTGTGCATTGCTTGTTGTCATAGGAGCACACTATTGCATAGGTTCTGTGTTCCCAGGGGGGCTGAGCTGTTGGTGCATGCATGTTTTAAGGTACATCAGTATAACTCTTTTATCGTTGTTGTTGTTTTTCCCTGTAGTTTGCTCTTAAGTGTTTTTTAAAACAGTAAAAAAGCAATAGCCCTCAAACTCTTGGACCATTCCACAGGATTCATGGGCGGCTTGAAACACCACTGTGTGCTTAGTCTCCCAGAAATCCATCTCCTTCTCCCCCTGTCCCCAGAAAGTATCATGCTTATTCTGAAATGCATTTTAAACATTTTTCATTAGAGCTTCTAGCTTAATATTAGGGGAAAAAAAAAAAAAAAAAAAAAAAAAAAAGCTAGATCTGCATGGAAACTTGCTTTGAGACAATTTTTCCTGTAAGATGAACATAAATCTGAAAATGTCTTCCTTTTTCTCCTTGGTCAGTACATGCATGTTTGGTACAGTACAGTGATCTTGGGCAGAAACACAATCAGAGTTTAAGCGGATGGGGTGGGAAGGGGGAGGGAGAAAAAAGGGGATAATACAAGTCAGGAGAATAAACAAAACAAAGAACAGGTAAAATCCAAGCACAAACTAATCACTGTCCTTGTATCTTTGCATTTCAGTATTTATGACCCCCACTGTTGGACTTCTACAACAATAAACCTCTACACTGACGTGTCTTTCCCTCATGTCTGTCCTGTCCTGCCCCTGTCTGGTAAACGGGTACAGTTATTTTCTGCCTCAGAGATTTTAGAGTTGTTGAGTTAAAAAGACTGCAAAGAAGCAGACTTCATTTTTATTTATATTGCTGTCTAAGATTCTGTCCCTCTGCTTTTTCTGTGTTTAAAAGAAGATGCTCTATGCTGAAAATAGTTAAGAGCCTTCTTGAGGACTTGTAAGTAATCTCTTGTTTACCCCCTATGGAAGCCATCTCTGCTGCCTATGCAAGTGAAGTGTGAATTTGTAAAATGAGTAATCTTTTAAATATGAAACTACAGAATTTTCTTAGTTGATGGGACAAGCTAAGCACTTAGGAGAGCGCATCACCAGTGTATACCCTTGCTAGAAAACAATCCACTGGAGCTTTGTTATAAAACATGCAAACATCCTGAGGAAGTGACAGTAATTTGCAGTAAACATTGCGTGTAAACAATTACCTGTGACTTGTTACACTTGTTTGTACAGGCAGCTGGCTAAACAGATCTGTGTGCATTTGTAAATGTCTGTCCCCATCAAACTCGATATTGGAAAACAGTTACTTAGTATTTGATTTCTCTGAAATGAGAAAAAGTCAGTCTTTTATACCTGACAGCAGGCAATGACTAAGTAAATGTGGGTGCTTATAGATACATGGAGAAAAGCTGGAGAAATAAATTGCAATGGTGGTGTTTTACTGAGAAGGGTGAAGACAATTTCATGTCTAATCACCAGACTGAATGAAGGCTTTTGTGACAGGATACTTGATGGAAAAGCTATTTTTATTGGTTGAGGGGTCCTGTGGTGGCAGAGAGGTCTAAGAAAGGGATGTGGTCATGCAAGGTCCAAGGAAGACGCAGGGGTGCTTAATCTTATCGTGGTTTAGCAAAATGGATGTTAGATGTTGGTGAAATTATGCTAGAGCCGTTATGCGCGCTGCGTTCTTCCCCTCTGGACTCTTATAAAGAAATAAAACAGGAGCGTCGGAGCTGCAAGGCGAGGGAAGCCACGGAGCACAGGATTTGCCCCTGGTGCTGCCGGCAACCGCTGCCCGGTGTCACCCCGCTCCATCCTCACGCAGGCCAGCCCGGAGGGCACAGCCCTCACCGCCCGGCCCCTGCCCTCACCGCCCGGGCTGCACCGAGCCCGCCGCGGGGCGAAGCCCTCGCCTCCAGGGACAACCAGGAGGCGGCTCGCCGGCCACAGCCCCCGGGGCCCCACAGGGCTCCCGACGTTCCCCCTGAGGGGGGGCGGCTCCGTCCCGCCGCGGGGGACTCCCGGAGGGAGGGACGCCGTGGGGTGAGGAGGGACCCCACGGTAAACGCGCCGTGCGAGGGGCACGAAGCCCACCGGCCCCCCCCCCCGCGCTGAGGGAACCGGGCCCGGCCCGGCGCGTCCCGTCAGCCGCGGCGCCGCGCGGGCGCAGTGCGCAGGGCGGGGGCCGCGCAGGCGCAGGGCGGGTCTGCGCGGGAGCGGCGGGGGGTCCGCAGGGTTTGTGAGGGGCGGCACCCGCACACACACCCCCCCCCCCCCCAGCCCTGGGGGCGCGGATCCCGGGCGGCCGCTGCGTTTTGGCGGTCGCCTTGTCGGTTTCGGTCGGTGCTGTCCGCCGGGGGGGTTGGGAGGGGTGTCTCTGGTGCAGGCGAAGCGGCAGCGCGCTGCTTGCAGTCAGGCGGCGCACAAAGGGCCGCGGCGGCCGCCCGTACCAAAAAAAAAAAATAAATAAATCCACCCAAAAAAGCCCAACCCCCACCCCACCGGCGCTCAGCTGGGGCTGGCGGCCGGCAGCGGGTGGGGTGTGTGTGTGGGGGGGGTGGTAATACACAGACGGCGAGGAGACGGGCAGCCCGCGGACAGTACGCGCCCGGCGGGCCGGGGGGATCGCAAGCGGTGCCCGGTATTGTTCCGCAGCCGACAACAAAGAGCGGAGCCGGGGTGGTGGGGGGGGGGGGGGGGGGGGGGGGGTGTGTTTGGGGAAGGGGGGGGGTCAGCGCCGGCCCCTCCGCGACGCGCCCGGCCAATGGGCGCGCGCAGCGATGGCGGCGGCGGCTCGGGGCTGTCCGCGATCGCCGCGTTACGCTGCGGCCCCCCCCGCCCCTCCGCCCGCCCCTCCGGAGCCGTCTGGCTGCAGCAGCGCCTCAGACAGAGGAGGGGAGAGGAGGGGGGGAAAAAAAAAAAAAAAGATCCGAAAAAAAAAAAGAGAAAAAAAAAAAAAACGCTGAGTGAGTGGAGTGGAGCCTGGGAGGGGCTCCTTAAAGAAACGCTGCCGTCGCTTGGCATTGTGGCCGGCGAGGAACTCGAGGGGGGGAAGCCATCGGAGCTCCTCTCGCTATCCTCTTCCCACCCCCCCCACCCCACCCCCAGCCGACAAAAAAAAAAAAAAAAAAAAAAAAAAAAGGAAAAAAAAAAAAAAAAACAACAAAAAAGCCAAAAAACCTCGGGGGGGGGAGTCGTGGGGGGGGGTCCTGAGAACATCTTATAAACCGGATTGCACTGAGAGGAGGAAAAAAAAAAAAAAAAGGCGAAAAAGATACAAAATATACAAGCAAAAGGCAACAACTCCCCGGTCTCCAGCAGTCGCCCACCCTCCCTTTCCTTCTCTCCTGCTGGCCATCTGCCTTGGGTTTTCCTTTGTGTCTGATCTTTTACTACTGAGCCGAGTGCAGGAGGAGGGTGCAACACACACAGGGACTATGCCCAGCTCGCTTTTTGCAGACATGGAGAGGAACGGGAGCGGCGGCGGCGGCGGCGGCGGAGGGGGAGAGACCCTGGATGACCAAAGAGCCCTTCAGATCGCCCTGGATCAGCTCTCCCTGCTGGGGCTGGACAACGACGAGACGGGCTCCATTTACGACAGCGAGCCTCGGAAAAAGAGCGTGAACATGACTGAATGCGTCCCGGTGCCCAGCTCGGAGCACGTCGCTGAGATAGTGGGGAGACAAGGTGGGTGCGCCTGCATGCCGGGGGGTGCGGGTGAGCGGGTCTCCCCTCCGCGCTGCCGGGCGGGCGGCTCAGCTGCGGCACTGGCCCTTCCCAGCAAAACTGCAGCTCTACGGTGGTGGCCGGTGCCGGCTTCCCCCAGACAAAGAAAGTGCATCAGCCGTGATGTTTCCGAGGAGCGTTATGCATCAGTTTCGAGATGCACTTTCAGCTGCCGGGGGAAGAGAGCGGGGGGGGGTAAATCACGAAAATATTAAAAATCGCTCCTTTCCTCCGGCTGCAAAAGTTAAGATTTGCGAGAGGAAACAGGAGGAAAATGGGAGCCTCGGTGTTTTTTGTTCCCCCACCCCCCCCAAAGTTAGAAATCATGAAATCGTGGATTATTTTTAAGGAAGAGAAATGGAGTGGGGAAGTGGAACAATGGAATTGGAATAAAGCATCCGCAGTGGGGAATGTGGCTCATTCGGTACAGCCGCCCGCTCCTCACCTTCTTAAGAACTGATTTTATTTTTCCGAAAGGAAAGTGCTGAGCAGGATTGTAGACTGGTGGGGTGTGTTGATTTGTTGGGGCAGCTTGCATTATATTTTCTTTTTTTTTTTTTTTTTTTTTTTTTTCTGGTCGTGCAGTTTTTCTGCACACTCTTTTTTTTTTTTTTTTTTTTTTGATGTTGTTGTTGTTGCTGTTCCTGCAAACTGCACGTTGGTACTTTTGGGGCAGTTTGCATGGCAGAGGTGTCGGTGGCCGCTCGCGATGCCCTTGGGTGTGTGGCAGGGCTGTGGGCTGACATTACTTTGCACCGTGAGTGGAGATCCTGGACGAGACGCCGGCTATCACCTGGGGTAGGGGGCAACGTGTTTTGGGTGGGTGGTTTTTTTTTTTCCCCTCCCTAGCTGCACCCAAATAATGGGTTGTAACCGGTTCTTCCCCCACCACCACCACCACCACCTCCCCTTCTTCCCCCTCCCCTTCACCCTCCATCTCCCACATCTCGTTCCCAGGTTGCAAAATCAAAGCTCTGCGGGCAAAGACCAACACCTACATCAAGACCCCGGTTCGCGGGGAGGAGCCGCTCTTTGTTGTGACGGGCAGAAAGGAAGATGTGGCCATGGCCCGCAGGGAGATCATCTCGGCGGCCGAGCACTTCTCCATGATCCGGGCCTCGCGGAACAAGAACACGGCCCTGAACGGCACCGTTCCCGGCCCCCCAAACCTGCCCGGCCAAACCACCATCCAGGTGCGGGTGCCTTATCGCGTGGTGGGCTTGGTCGTGGGGCCCAAGGGGGCCACCATCAAGCGCATCCAGCAGCAGACGCACACTTACATCGTGACCCCGAGCCGGGACAAGGAGCCCGTCTTCGAGGTGACGGGCATGCCCGAGAACGTGGACCGGGCCCGGGAGGAGATCGAGGCGCACATCGCCATGCGCACCGGCGGCATCATCGAGCTGACGGATGAGAACGACTTCCACGCCAACGGCACGGATGTGGGCTTCGAGCTGAACGGCACGGGCAGCCTCTGGAGCAAGCCCACGCCGCCCAGCATCACCCCCACCCCGGGCCGCAAGCCCTTCTGCAACTACCGCAACGACAGCTCCAGCTCGCTGGGCAGCGCCTCCACCGACTCCTACTTCGGGGGCGGCACGGGGGGGGGCGGCGGCACCCGCCTGGCCGACTACAGCCCCCCGAGCCCGGCGCTGAGCTTCACCCACAACGGCAACAACAACAACAACAGCGGCGGCGGCGGCGCCGCCAACGGCTACGTGTACGGCGGGGGGGGCGGCGGCGGCGGCGGCAGCGGCGGCGACGTCCTCTCCTCCCCGGACTGCTGCTCCGAGCTGCCCTTCGACTCGCCGCCCGGCTTCGACCTGGCCCCCGCCCCGCCGCCGGGGGCCGCCCTCATCTGGCCGCAGTTCGAGCGCGGCCCCGCCGCGCCCCCCTCGCCCGCGCCCCCCTCGCCCGCCGCCGCCGCCTTCCCGGGCGCCGCGCCCGCCAATGCCAACCTGGCGCTGCTGGTGAGCGGCCCCCGGCGCGGCGGCGGCGCCCCGCCCCCGGCCCGGCTCTCCCCGCCCCTGCACGGCAGCGCGGCGGGGCCCGAGCACCCGCTGGCGCGGCGGGTCCGCAGCGACCCGGGCGGGCGGCTGCTGGCCGGCTCCTACCCGCTGTACGGCAACGGGCTGGGCTCCCACCTGCCGGGGCTGCCCTCCGACTCCTCGGCCTCCTCCTCCTCCTCCTCCAGCTCCTCGTCCAGCTCCTCCTGCTCGTCGTCCGGCGTGCGGCGGAAGGGCAGCCGCGACTGCTCGGTCTGCTTCGAGAGCGAGGTGATCGCGGCGCTGGTGCCCTGCGGCCACAACCTCTTCTGCATGGAGTGCGCCAACCGCATCTGCGAGAAGACGGAGCCGCAGTGCCCCGTCTGCCACAGCGCCGTCACCCAGGCCATCCGCATCTTCTCCTGAGGCCGCGGCCGGGCCGGGGGGGCGCGCTGGGGGTGCCGCTGACAGCGGGTGCATGCTATAAATAATAACGGGCGACGCCATTCTAGTGCTAGGCTAGTTTTTACACTGTACTTTAATACGAAGCTTCCAAAACCCCCCCTTTTTTTTAAAAACGAACGAAGAAACAAACAGGAAAAAAACAAAAAAAAAAAAAAAAAGAAAAAAAAACAGAAAAAAAATATTGAAAGTAGAAGATGCTTATGATGATGACAATGGTGTGTGGACTGTTAGTAAAACGTGCTGGTAGTTCCTAGGATGCTTATTATGAAATAATTAAATCTATGGGTGGATACTTTTCTGAATGTTCTTGAAAGGGCAAGAAGTTCCTGTGAAAACCATGATACTGCAGCTTTATCAAAGTTTAAAAAAGAAAAAAAAAAACAAACTGTAACATATCTCTTATATATATTAAAAACGTTTAAAGGTTTTAAAGATAAATTGCATTAATACAGATTGAAGTATTTTATTCTTTTTTGACTTGAAAAATTATATTTCATATTGCAAAGATGTTTACAAGTATTTTAATTTAAGTTCAGTGAACTTTTTGTAGCTGGGTTAAATCTTTTTTATTTTAGTATGGCCTTATGGCAAAGAACACTGTATTATTTTAATATCACACAATTGTGAACGGAATTACAAACCATAAAATGTGTAATGCTTTGAACAGTATTCTGTTGGGATGGAGATTTTATAGGTTCAGAAAAAAAATCTTTTAAATCTGCTTCACCCAGCATATTTTCTATTCAGTGATATAAAGCATATTTTATTCTATATTATTACAAAAATGGAAATGTATAAACATATGTCAAAAGGAACTGTTGAAGCTTTCTAACATTTGTATAAATAGAATTCAGTGGAAATTACAAAAATTCTGTTGCACCACTATAGTTTTAGTATTTCTATTTTAATACATTTGTTTACCACTTGTTTATGTATATGTAGGTGACGTTACTTGAGCTTAAATGTACTTTACTGAGCAAAGTTTAAAAACAAAGTATATTTTATTTTATGATAAAGGGCCTTTAACCTCATGGTCAAATACTAATATTATATTTGCTGAGACAAGATTTGAAATTGTATCAAGAGTTTTATTTTTCTGACATTTAAAGTTCTACATAATAAAAGTAAAACTTAAGTAATGGTGCTACTTCATGTTTTTTTAAGTATTTCTATATAAATAAAATAAAATATTACACAAAAAAAAAAAGTACTCCGTGTGGTGATTTGATATGTTGTGCTGAGAGTGTCTTTTGGATTTTTTGTTATCTGCTTGTAGCACCGAATCATGTTGGGAGTTTAAACTGTGTCATGTCAGTGTTGCTGGAACTCTTTAGCTTGTGAGGTTTTAAGGGGAAAAAAAAAAAAAACCAACCAAAAAAATGTTTTGGTTTGTTTGTTTTGTTTTTTTTTTTTTTTTTTAATATCTGGCATATTGCAGGGGTTATTCCACATGCTATTTTTTTCAGAATCTTTAGTCTTGACAAGTACTTCGTTTCGCATGATTTGTTACTTCTAGCAAATAAAACATATGTGAGAACAGAGCTGACAGCTTGCTTCGCTTAGGGATCTAAAAGCAGGTGGCAGGGGAGGCTGCTTTGTTGTAACGCGCTGGTGGAGGCCAAATCCTGCGGGTCCTGGCTCTGCCATGCTCCAGGGCCTCAGAACCTCGGCCCAAACGCAGCGTTTTCTGGAGTGGAACGAGGGCTGTGGTATCCTTCCTCAGCTCTTGGAAAGTGCTCCTTGGTATTTGGCAGTTGTGGTTCGGGTAATTGGTGTTGACAAGCTCATTTGAATAAAAAATTTATTGCTGTGTAAAGTTTGTTTGCTTTTGATGATGCCCGCAGTGGTATTGGGGCGAAGGAAGTACAGACGTTTTCTGACTAACAAGCCCACGAACCCACCAGGCAAACCCCGCAATGTTTTTGTTGAGGACTGTAGTCAACGTGTTTGAGTGAACTGGCTGGATAAAGCGTGTTAGAGCAGGTTTCAGAAGGTAGCTGCAGAGCATCTTCCGTGTTTGAGGGTGCAGGTGCACTTTTCAGCAGGAGAACGAGAACAATGAAACAAACCCAACCGGTGTAGCGCACTTCATGTGTTTTACTTTGTGCTTAGCAGAGTATGACAGAGCTGCTCCGCTCCGATCTCCTTTATGGACTCCAGAGCTGCTGGTTGGGTGGGAAGGGGGAGGAGGGAGGATGCGGCAGGGGATGATGGGATCTCTTTGTTTGATTTGATTTGGTTTTTGCTTCTTTCATTGAACTGTGATTGTGATATCATCTGATTTATAGAGTTAAAACCCCTCAAAGTGTTGCCTTTGTCTCAGGAAGCTTGTCATTTTGAATGGTGGAAAAAAACCCCAAAACATTGCTGTAGAAAAGAATCCAGAGAGCGGCAGAGAAGATGGGCTTAAAAACAGAAGTGGTATGGACACTGAGAAAAAACGAAAACAAAACCTTGGCAAAATTGGTTACTTTAAAGGGATCAGGAAGTTTAAGTCCACGTGTATATTTTCTTAATGATGGGTGTTTAGGAAATGTATTCAAAATGCGTCAATCAATTTCTCGTTTCAGTGTAAACATCCTGTGCTGGTGTCTGGGAAAAGTTGTGAAAACGGCTATAAATAAAAAAGTGAATTTGATCACTTTGCTTAATTTTCCAAGCTTAGTGAAACCAAAAGGTACAAAAATCAAACAAAAATTGAAAACTAATTTCTCCTCCTTTTTTTTTACCCCTTAACGTACAGCACTGTGCGTCTCCCTGGTGTTAACATCAGGGGTGTGGAAGACGGAGCAGCCGTGCTCCCCGTAGTGAACAGCTCTCGTGCCCCAGCCGGACAAACGCCCCAGCCCAGGCGGTGTGCCAGGGCGCTGCGAGCTCGGGCACCGGCCGCATCGTCCAGGTTCACCTTGCAGGACTTGTCTCGGTATTTTCTTCACCAAACTGTGGCTGAAACAGAGTCAATCCCCTCTGTGCCTGTGGCCTCGGCTGCCTTTTTGGCCTCTATATGCTGTTCCACCCCCCGCGCGTGTTCCATGTGTGTATTGTTACAAGACAGGAAGATGGGCTGCAGTGCCTTAAAAACTGATGGTGTTCATTCCTCTTTGGGAATTATTTCACCCGCAGAGGGACCGGTCTGGATTACTCTTGTTTTGGCGTCAGATGATGCAGCAAGTGCCTTTTGCCCCGTCGTCCAAACGCGTGTGGCTGGTGGCGGTGGCAGAGCCGGCCCTTTGCCGCCCGGCGTGGCTGGTGGGGTCAGCAGCACCCACAGGAGAGGGAACCCCCCGGCTGCCGCCCGGCGTGGCTGGTGTGCTCCCCTCTGTTGGCGGGCAGCTCAGCAGCGTGCCGGCGCAGGCCGTGCCCATTGCCCTACGTCTCCTTGCTTACTGGGTTGCAGCGATGTGCCCCGAACCCCGAATCTGCTCCCAGCGGCGGGGTGTAAAATCCCTCGTCTTGGGCTGGGAGAGACGCGCGCACGTGAGCAGAGAGAGCGCGGGGAGGAATGTGCGGGCTACACATGTGTGCTGCCCGCCCAGATTTATGCCATAGGTCGGTCCCTCAGACTGCAGAGGCCGTAAATCAGCGCAGAATTTGTCCCAGGGTCTGGGGCCATATGGCGTGCGGGAGCGGGAGAGGAAGAGGGATGCCCGCCCGAAAGGAGAATAAAAGCCTGCGTTCCATGCAGGAATATTTCAAAGCCTGAGGAAGGGGCAAAGTTCAGTTTCTAATTGAGTGCTTTGAAATATATAGATGTATATGGTCAATGTTTATCTTCCAGGACAAAGATCACTTTGTTTTCCAAATGTCGGTGTGTTGGTGCTGGAAGCCGTAGGCGGGGGCCTCCCCCCGCGAGGCTCCGCTGCGGCCGCCGCAGCGGCGCGGGGCCGCGGGTGCCCCCGGCGCGTGTGGGCAGCCTGGCCCGGCCGGAGGCATTCGCCAGGACCTCCACGTTCCGGGGGGTTTTCCTGTCTTTCCTAACGGGCGTGTATGGTTCCCAGTGCGTATACACATAATTATCTCAAAAAAAGGATGCATTTACATTTGTAAGAATTATTATATACAAAGTCCTGAGCTTAATTATTCCTCTGTCCATATTTTGTACTCCATGGAATTTGCATAACAATCAGACATCAAAGCCAGAGTCCTTTACTAGAAGAAAGGTCTTTCCACCGTATTATTTAATAAAATAAATTATAACCATCAATTTAATCTAAATTTACTCTTTAGATAATTATTTTTTTTCTACAAATCAATTGAAATGAGAAAAGGAAACTTTAAATTTAGGAGTAAGAATCTAGTACAGTGAGGTATTTAAATTAAATTGCTTTTTCTTTGATGTTTCTCACTCCTCTCTGCCAACCCCCTCACCCATCTTTTTTTCTCCATTCTCCTTGTCTTGCCATTTTGGAAATTGAAATGATGCTCTGCTGTCACTGAAGTGAATGGGAATTCTGCCGCTGGAAGAGCATGCTGGTGAGTATGGCGTTTAATTGATCTAGAAATAGCAAAAAGCAATTATTCACCCTGCCTCTGCTTATTTGTGTTTCCTGTACCTGTTGTCTCTCTAGTAGAGATGATTGAATTAGAGAACAAAGACTATTTTAAATCTAAGGTAGTTAAGGGATGCTTCAGTCTGTATAATCATTTGATTTTCTGATTTACCTTTTTACGATAGTCTACCTGGCAAATGCCAAAGGGCCCAAGGTTGCAGGTGAGTAAGTGCTCTATCCAACAGCGAGTGATGTGGGAAGACACTTGTAACTACTGTGTTCTCTTGCTTTCTTCTCAGAAAAAATATATAGATAAACATACATATGTGACCATATATTCAATATATACTTGTGTACATAGGTGACTGCTTAAAACCCTCCAGAAAATCACAGCTTAGAAAGTCTTTCTTTTTGCTATGCATTAATGTTACCAGAAACTGACTGTAATACTAGAAAAAGTTTTATTGTAGTTTTATTATTTAATATTAAGGATTTTAATGAAAATTTCACAGGTGGATATGTAAAATAATTACATCTCATCTGATTTCTAACTTTGATTAAAAAGCAAAAAGCTTATTCTGGCTTAGTTTTAGTGAATTAGGTTGTACCATGATGTGCTTATATAGTGATGAAGCTGTATCAAAAACATTCAAGCATTTGGTATATGGACCATTCATTGATGTTATCTGTACGCGTACATCATGTACAGCTCTGTGCCCTAGATATATACATGCATATGCGTACAATATTGTGAATAATACATAGCCCTGATCTTTTAAGGTTTGTGCAGTCTTGGTAAATTGTCTCTATCGTGTGAGGTTGAATTTCTGGCCTGAAAGGAACATCAAATGGGTCTGTGGCTACAGGAACCACCTGTATCCATCCTAGGATGCATTTCTCTGAGTTTTGGGCTCCATGAAACCAGTATCAGAAGCCCCCCCATTGATCAGGACTTAATTCTCCCCAGAAATTAAACTCTGGCAAATAAAGTTTGTTTGCGTATAAAATCTTATCCAAGGCACACAGATAATATTTCTCCCTAATGTGGGTCTGTTGGGTTTTTTTGGTAGGGAAGTTTTTGCATATCATTTGTAACAACCTACAGCTCTTCACTGGTAAGAAGATTATTGTTTGAGAAAACCAGTCAGTTAGATACATTCATACTAAATGCATCTTATACCTTTACCACTACAAACGCAATTGATTAGCTGTCTCGAGAAATTTATAGCCTTTGATAAGACTGCACCAAGAGAAGTGCCTTGTTAGTTTTAAATGGAGAACAAAAGGAGATTTTTGATGTTCCTCATTACTGGTTTTCCACTTGTGGTGGAAATAAAGTACAGTAAAGTGCTTTTTCCTCTTACGTATAAGGGCTCTTCTGCCTTTCATACCTGGTAGAATTGTGTGGCCCACTTGCATTAGTGTGATGGCAATGGCCTTGTAAATGTGACTGCCACGAATGGGTGAACACTCTGTCGTCTCCTATTTTGTCCTTTGTCTTTATATTTTATTCACTCTTACCCTCTACAAAAGGGCCTTAGTTTAGACCTGAGAAAACAGTAGTGATGCTCCGTTTCATTGCATATCTAGTGGCAGGTTTTGTTTGACTTTGATGTTCTTTATATTTTGATGGGTGTACTAAACAGCAGAAGCTATTTTAATCAAAAGAAAATTTCAGTGAGAGCACGACCTATAAATAGTGGGTTTGATA